CGCGTCATTTACAGGAAACAACGTCTAAGGAACCTTAATATTTAATAAACTATGAATATTTTATATCCATATAACGGGAAAAAACTCATTTAACTGATCTTTTTCATTAATTAAAAAAAAAAAAAACACACAATGCTAACAGTGAGCCTCTGAATTAGCCCCGAGCGAAAAATGCTAACCTATTACTGCACCGAAAATCACTCCAAGCTCCCTTATTACTTATTCTAGCTGCACATCCAACACATTGTTTATGATCGTTGTTACGTGCCGTAGTGTTTGTGTGGTCGTGTGGGTGTTTTTCTCTCTCTCCCTCTGACTCCCCAGGTGCAGCCTTGATTGTCCCCAGGTGCAGCCAATCCTCAATCAGGGCCTCCATATAGGACAGGAGGAAGGTTGCTGCTTTCTCTCTCCTTCTCCCCGGGCTGGATGTGTGCAGCGTGGTGTCCATGTCTCCAATATATATATATATAGTTGTAGCGAGATTTGTTTTGCAAGTTGGCTGGTGAGCCGTGTTCCTGTTTGATCATTAAACGACTTGTTCGTTCCTCAGAGATCGGTTTTCTCTCCCTTTTTGTCGCGCTTGGTCATCCTGGTGTGTCGCTACTTCCCTTTGTACCCCCTAGCTGTACAAGGGAACGTAACAATCGTAAAGACACAGAATCTAACGGTGCCCACCTCAACACTGAAAGATACAAACTCGCGAGGTTATCAACAAAAACGTACATCAAAACAAGTGGCGCTAGTAGGTACTAACATGCGCTAGGCTAACATGGCTTACCTTGGTCTTTGTCTGGTCTAAACTGGTCTTCAATGGCATTAAAACGATAAAAACGATGATGTAGTTAATCCATAGGTTAATATCCAATGGGGCTGTGTCCCCTTTGAAATGTTCTGATAATCTATAAGAAATAAAACTGCAATTCCGTTATCTACTGTCCGCTCCGTGCTCAGAGCGGGTCCTGCTGCAATTCCTGCTTCCTTACGTAGTAAACAATAAGTAAAGTCTGCTGTGTAATGTACTTACGCTGGCTGGCATTCTTTATACTTTACGCAGGACCATATCTCAGGAACCCATTGGTCGATTTGGGTGATTTACACCTTTTTCTTAACCATTACATCCAATAAAATCGATGGACAGTTCCCAAATCCACGTAAACATTACCATTGCGGACGTAATAGAGAAGCAAACGAAGCATATCTGAAAGTACAAGCCTGGACGGCAAAACTTTATGCCCAGTATATTGCCATAAATATGATGATGGATTATCAGTAAATAATTCTACGTGACACAAAGACATTGGATTAACCTTGAGCGGCGTTTTTATTCCTTTGAACACAACTTTTGATCACAAATCAAAAAAGGTAAGACGTAATTATTGTAATATTGAATTCGGGGTCCTACAGTGATGACATTACATGTGTGGAATCTGTGGAGTCTCAGCTTTAATCGGATATCTTGTTTGTGCAGTTACGATAAGTAATAAGGGCATTTCTACCGTGAGTGCTGTGCAAAAGTCTGTTAGCATTAGTTAGCATTTTTTCGCTCTTTACTCTTGTGTTTACTCTTGTGTTTTCTTTTAGCTAAAAATGGTTCACATTGTCAGTTAGCTGAGTTTCTTACCGTTAAAAGGGTATGGAACATTAACAGTTTCATAAATGTTAAGAAGCCCTGAGACATAGTCTCGTAAAAAAACGGTGGGAGGGGTCCACTGGGGGGACCCTCGGGCTTAAGAGGTTAAATAAAGTAATTGAGCAACAGCAGGTTAATTCAAGGCCTCACTTTCCTGGAACAAAGGTAAATGGTTGCTGGTGAGAGGTCACACAAGGTCACAAATCTCTGTTTCTGTCATCATCCTGTTGTATCCTCTCAGATACATTAATACGTTTTGAACAGCCTGTGTTTTGGCCAAGATAAAGAGTTTATATCAGTATGTAGTGTCTCTATTTTAAAGAATCCTCTCCTGCTGATGTTCAGGTGTATATCAGTGTGTAGTGTCTCTACTTTAAAGAATCCTCTCCTGCTGATGTTCAAGTGTATATCAGTGTGTAGTGTCTCTACTTTAAAGAGTCCTCTCCTGCTGATGTTCAGGTGTATATCAGTATGTAGTGTCTCTACTTTAAAGAGTCCTCTACCCTACACAAGACCCATAGTGAGCCCCGTAGATGTGGTCGAGTCCTATGAAGCAGCTGTTAGGTGTGAATGACCAGAGAGAACACGCTGAGTGTGAAATGAGACTCCATAATGATGTGTTTAATGTGAGGTCACACTGACATCTAGTGGTGATCTGCAGACATCAACACAAGGTCAACATTAAACTCCTCATAACTTTAAGCATTATTGACATTATGATTAATTCACATGATTTTGGCAACATGATGCTTTTATTAAAGCTTTTTAAAAATGCATATAGTTAAAGCTGATTTAAGATCACCCCATATCTGTCCTCCTGAGTCCTACATGTGATTGTTTTTAATATATTTTAATTTACTTTTTGTTATATTTCATTGTATTTTTATTGACTTCTATATTTTCCTTTTATCATGTATTGTTGACATGTTTTGTTAATAATGTAAAGCCCACTCAGAGACAATCGTGTTTTTTTATATTGAATCTTATAAATAAACTTTGATTTGATTAAACTTTTCTCTGATCAGCTGTAGCTATGGCAACAGGTGACAGTTAGCTTACATTAGCTTTGATGCTAGCTAACCACCGGTCAAAATACATTACCGTAATTACCTGAACGTCTTAAAGTGCTTTAAAAGTGATATAACGTAGTGAAAGGTCTTAACAAGTACCTTTAGCGCTGTTGCTGAGCTGAGGTATGTCGGTGTTTGGAAGTGAAGCATCACAGAAAGCACCGGGAGAAGGACCGGGGATTTCATCTCTGTTCATCCGGGAGAGGGAGCAGGCAGAGCGGCAGATTTAGACCTGAGATTAGGGAAGAGCATTTTCACCACAGAAAAGAACATATCTACTCTGTAAATCATTAATATGACATCTCATTGATATGATTTATAATCTGATTACTCGTGTACTTGAGTAAAAGTACTCAGATCTTGTACTCTTTATGCAGATTAAATACAATATTAAGAGCTCTTATTTTTAAGTGCTTCCTGTTTGCTGTTTAGTTTCACTTCGTGCTCATCGGTCGTGTCGCACCTTCTTCTTCTTCTCTCTAAAGGTTTGTAACTTTTTGTGACTTCAGCGTGTTTAGAGACAACTCTGATTATCAATCATTGCTCAGAGAATAAGAAAAACTCTTTAGTTTTACTTTCAGAGACTCAGAGACAGACTTTAACTCTCTTCCTGTTTTCACCTCAAAACGCCTGTACACCATAACTATTATTATTATTATTATTATTATCAATCATTACTCAGGGACCCTCTCTCTCTTTATTTATGTCCTTACTACTGTAACTGTGTGTGTGTGTGTGTGTGTGTGTGTGTGTGTGTGTGTGTGTGTGTGTGTGTGTGTGTGTGTGTGTGTGTGTGTGTGCGTGTGTGTGTGAGTTTGTGTGTGGAGTGGGGGGGGCTGTTCCCTCTATCGTCACATGACCAGCAAAGTATTTAAAGATAGACATTTCAAAAGTGGTAAAGGTAAAACATTGGAAATATAAAGAGGAATGCATTAATAATACAAATAATTAATACTAACATAATAAATGTGGAAATGTAAACATTATTAATTAAAGAAAACAACACTAATGTTCCTCCCTCAGAGGGGGAACTGTTTAATACAATTAATCAAAATACAAAAATAAAACATTACAAAACAAAGTAAACAAATATAAGAGCTGAAGAGCAGGACATTTAAAAATATATGAATTAAATAAAAGCAAATAAAATCCTATATAAAAATATTTAATCAAACAAGACCATTTTAAAATACAATCAAATGTAAAATGGCATTTACATTTATGTGGGAGTATAAAGAGCATGAAATACAAATATATATGAATACAAAAGAGAAAAGAAGAACATTTGGAAATATAAGAAACGGTCAAATGTAAAAACATTAACATAATATATGTGGAAGAATAAAGATGAGTAAAAACGTTTATAAAAAATAAAATGATGAACATGGACATTTAAACAATACGTGAAAATACAAAGAGGAATACATAAAAGGGAATGTTTAATAATACAATTAATACATACAGTCTACAGGAGTAGTGATAAAAAGAGCTCACAATAAATGAAACAATTGTAAAAAATTACATAAATTGAAGAATATAAATACTATAATAATAAGAAGATGAAAATGATACCTAGATGAATAATAAGCAAACACATAACTATACAAATGTAAAAATGAATGAATGGATTGATAAATAGGAATCAATGACACAGGTGAAGCCATGTCTTACAGATTGCTTTGTTTTCATGATTAGAAATAAACAGAGAGAAGGGATAGTGGAGATTGAGCTGGAAAACAAAATAGATAAATAAGAAATACATTCAAAGCTAAAGCAAACAGGACAAGAAGTTAATGATCATGAAATAAAAACACTACATCAGTAAACATGGAATAAAATGATCCAACTTATGCCCGCCCTGGCAAATCAAATGCCCGCCCACAGATGTATGCCGCCGGGTCTGGCCACAGTTGCTAGCCCTGTTTATAATGATTGATCATGAAAGTGTTCTCAAAGCTGGTAAAGGTGCAGCTAGTTTGAATGACTTTGTATACTGCAGGGTAGCTGGTGGATTTACTCCAGGTGGAACTAAAGTCTGATTCAACACTTGATTAGATTTCACATCATTCATCTGTGAAGTAACTAAAGGTATTAAATACATGTAGTGGAGTAGAAGTACACCATTTACCTCTGATAGTGAAGTAGAAGTACAAAGAAGTATAACATGGAAATACTCAAGTAAAGTACCTCAAAATTGTACTTAACTACAATACTTGAGTAAATGTACTTAGTTTACACACAACTGCAGCTCAGCATGCACTGGTAACACTCAAACATCTGTGTGTTGAAGCCCAGACCTGGACCTGGACCTGGACCTGAACCTGGACCTGGACCTGGACCTGGACCTGGACCTGGACCTGGACCTGGACCTGGACCTGAGTCCCGCTGTGTTTCCTCAAAGAGTGACCGCTCAATGGAGCCTCAATCTGCTGATGGGAGGTAAGAATAAAACGGACTAAGGGTGGATATCAGGTTACTTACTTTTCATTTCCTCGCTCCAAAGTAGATTTTTCTGCGCCATCTTGAGTAGCGCCCCATTGCCCTTATTTGTGCCGGAGGACTGAGGAGCGATAATCGAGGAGCCACCAGACCATCCTCGGGTGAAATCTTCAGCACTCGCCCCGCCCCTTACTGCGTATCAGGTTCCGGTTATTTATTTGTACCCGTAGGTAGATTCTGTTTGCAGAGAAAAAGACAAGGGATCCGTCCTGACACTAAAAACAAACAACAGACACATCTCTAATAAAGGACTAGTAAAAGTACAAGTATACCCTGCTCAACCAAATCTCAAAATATTTAAAAAACATTTTAAGAAGGAAAACACTAGTACAAACATGGACATTCGAAATTCACAATTAAATAAATAAATAAAAATAGGCATCTGTGTGACGCTCCTATGATGTGTTAATGTGTGCAATAGCTGCTGGGATAAAACTGTTTTTATACCGCTTCGTTCTACTCCTTGGGACGACTAACCTCCGGCTCGAAGGAAGAAGCTTGAATTCTGAGTGCAGAGGGTGGGAGTCATCGTCTAATATGGAGCTGGATAACCGCTGTGACTGCCTGAGGTACAGCGTCTCCAGGTTTAGCTGTGGCTCACCAATCAGTCTGCTGGACCACTTTATGATCTGACTCAGAGAGTTCCTGCTCTTTAAAGTCAGGTTACCAAACCATGACATTAGTGAAAAAGACAGAATTGACTCGATAAAAGCACGATAAAACATAATCATCATGGTTTTGTCAATGTTAAAATAGGATAGTTTCCTAAGAGAGTACAAACGCTGGTGCCCCCTTTTGCACACAGCTTCACAGTTTGGATCAGAGCTCAATTTTGAGTCAATAATTGTCCCGAGATATTTGTATGATTGCGCAAATTCTACTTTCTGATTCTGGATTGTTAAGACTTCATGTATGTGGGGATGTCTTCTAAAATCAATGATCATGTCCTTGGTTTTGCTTATGTTCAGTTGTAGATAGGAATCCTCACACCACCTGACAAAGTCGTCAATGACAGGGCCGTGGCTGGTCTCATTGTCCTGGAGCCTACTAACAATTACAGAGTCATCTGCATACTTTAAAATAGTCCTATTTTCCCACCTACTTTGACACATATTAGTGTACTGTATAAATAATAGTGGTGAAAGGACACATCCTTGTGGGGAGCCAGTGGAGGAGCTGACTTGATCAGATAAGGTCCCATTCACCCTCACTCTTTGTGTCCTATTGGTTAAAAAATCAAGAATCCAGCCCATAAGATTATTGCTTATTTCAAATTGTTCTAAAAGTCTGCCAATTAGAATATGAGGTTGAATTGTGTTAAAAGCAGAGGAAAAATCAACAAATAAAAGTCTGGCATGAGATCCAATTCCCTCCAAGTGTTTAAAAAGTAAGTCAGATAAGGTGACAGTGGCATCCTCCACTCCTCTGTGTGGCCTGTAAGCAAACTGCATGGGATCGAGTGCATGCTCAGTCTTCCTTAACATTTCTGCTCTGACTACTTTTTCTAATGTCTTCATTAGAATTGATGTCAGTGCAACTGGTCTAAAATCGTTAAGAGTTTGGGCGCCTCTGGATTTGGGAACAGGGACTACCACAGCATCCTTCCAAACCTTTGGCACATGCTGTGTCTGTAAAGACATATTAAAAATGTAGTGGAACACAGGGCTAAGTTCTTTTGCGCAAGGTTTAAGTAAACGACCGCAGATGTTGTCAGGTCCATGACTCTTATTTACTTTCACTAAACGGAAGGCCTTTTCCACTTCCCTCTGATCTATGTTAAAATGCTTATTGTCTTCAAGTTTAAGCTTCAGTTCAGATATATTATTACTGAAATCAAATGTGTCAAATCGAGAAAAAAAGTGATTTAGGGCATTTGCAAACTCAACATCTGAATTAAAGCCATCCAGAGTCACATGGCAGCTATTCTTTGTTTCCCGGAGGCCTGTTATGGTTTTTATGCTACTCCAGACTGAGCCAAGGTTGTTTGCAGCCATTTTGTTTTGTAGTTCAGATTTAAAATTCTGTTTAGCTTTCAGAATTTATATTTTAAGTTCCCTATTAGCATCATGCAGATCAGAGGCACTTCCCTGTTTAAAAGCTTGGTTCTTTTTCTGAATGCTGGACTTAACCGCCTTGGTCACCCATGGTTTGTTATTAGGGTATATTTTAACTTGCGTACACGGAATAATCATGTCTTTACAAAAGGCTGTATATGAGCATGTTACATCAACAAGTTCATCCAAGTCGGCACCACAAGACTCTTTGAACATATCCCAATCAGTGCAGTCATAACATTCGTGCAAACAGGCTACAGATTCTTCTGTCCAGACATTTATGTCCTTTGTCAATGTTTTCTCTCGCTTCAAAACTGTTTTGTATATGGGCAGTAAATGCACACAGTTATGATCAGCAGAGCCCAGTGGGGGTAATGGGACTGACTTATAGGCTTCCTTTACTGACCCATAACACAGGTCTAATGTTGTATCCCGCCTGGTTGGACAGGAGACATATTGATAAAAGTTAGTGAGTGTCTTTTTAAGGGTCACATGGTTAAAATCCCCAAGTATAAAGTTTGATGCGTCAGGTGAAGTTGACTGCAGTTTTTGCACCAAATCAAAGACAGTGCTGGAGGCAGAGGTGGCATTTGCCCTGGGATGGATGTACACTATTGTTATAAAAACTTGGGGAAACTCACGGGGCAGGTAGAAGGGACGCAATGAAACAGATAAAAGTTCAACATCTGGGGTGCAAATGCGTTCTCTGACAGTCACAGAGCTACAGTACTGTTTGTTTACGTACAAACCCCCCTTGAGTTTTTCCTGTCACTTCCGCCTTTCGATCCAGACGAAAGGGAGCTCCAAAACCGTCAATAAACAGATCGTTGTCCTGGTTACAGTCTGTGAGCCATGTCTCAGTGAAGGCTAAAACACAGCTGTCCCTGAAATTCTTCTGAAACCGAACATTACCCTGAAGCTCTTCAACCTTGTTCCTCAGCGATTGAACGTTTCCCAGGATCATCGAGGGCAGAGGAATCCGAGGGAGCCGCTGCCTTCTAATGCGTAATCTTACGCCGCCGCGTTTACCCCGCTTTCTCCTCTGGTGCCCCGTTGCACCACAGGTTCAGTGGCGACTGGTCATTAGGGGCACAGCCCCACCTAGTGTCAGCAGAAAGTATTAAAATAATGATTACAACAAAATGCAAAAAATAAATTAAAAAATATATTAAATATATTTCAAGATCATGTTTAATCATCTGATTCGTCTGTACATTGCTGTTTTAGTCTGTGTTCTTCTAATTAGTGTCTACAGTGTGTGCCTATTGAGCTGTTTAGAGCCATGTGGGACAAAACCCGATCCTGCCCCTCCCTCTCACTGTCTAAGTGAACGGTGACTGTAAAAACTACACTGCGCATGCTCAGAGTATTGTCCTATTTAATGTGTGTGGCAAAACAATAATGACCATAGGGGCATAGAGCTGCCATCCCCACCATACGTCATCTCACATCATTCAGAGCTGATTGGCTGTAAGTACGTGTGCCGCGAAAAGTGTGGTGTGTGAAGAGGAGACGAGAGAGCTGCAGTGACGCATCCTAAAACCCGGAAGTAAGCTGCGCATGGCTTCCCTCGACAAAAAAGCAATGAGATTTCTCCTTAGGATTTTAGAAAATAGCTCAAAATAAGATCTGTGGGAAACAAACCTGTTAGATAAATGCACGTTTTGTTCAGCCGGATAATATCCACATGTCTACCCTACTTTTATCATTTTCGAATCATAAATCCATCATTTAGATTTATGATAGACTTTTGAAACTACAAGAACATAAGGAGGACTTTTACAAAAAAGTAATAGAGATTTTTGTCCAGAAGGATAGGCAAATGGACTTCATCTTCAAGTCAAGGTAAGACTGCAATTTTATTGAAAATGGGATCTTACTAAGAGAGAACAATTCAATATTTAAATGATACAATTACATTTTTGTTCTCTCTGAAGAACCAGCACCTCTCTGAAGAACCAGCACCTTACCGTGGTAGAGAGGTTTGTGTGCCCTGATGAACCTGGGGGCTGTGTTGTCTGGAACCTTGTGTTCCTGGTAGGGTTTCCCATGGCAAATTGGTCTCAGGCAAGGGGCCAGACTAAGATTGGTTCAAAAGACCTCATGAAAGACGATACAAGAAGTGAGGATACCCGGCCCGGAGGAAGCCCGGGGTCCCCTTCTGGAGCCAGGCCCAGAAGGAGGACTCGTCGGCGAGCGTCTGGTGGCCGGGCTTGCCACGGAGCCCGGCCGGGCCCAGCCCGAAAAGGCAACGTGGGCAACACCTCCGCTTCTCCGTCCCGCGGGCCCACCACCTACGGGAAACATCAATGGGGTCGGGTGCGCTGCCAGAAGGGTGGCAGTGAAAGCGGAGGGTCTCGACGGACCAGACCCGGGCGACAGAAGCTGGCTTTGGGGACGTGGAACGTCACCTCTCTGGGGGGGAAGGAGCCGGAGCTTGTGCGGGAGGTGGAGCGTTACCAGTTGGATCTGGTTGGGCTCACCTCTACGCACAGCGTCGGCTCTGGAACCTTACTTCTGGATAGGGGTTGGACTCTATTCTTCTCCGGAGTTGCTCAAGGTGTGAGGCGCCGGGCGGGTGTGGGGATACTCACAAGTCCCCGGTTAGGTGCTTCGTTGTTGGAGTTTACCCCAGTGGACGAGAGGGGTCGCCTCCCTACGCCTGCGGGTTATGGGGGGGGACAACTCTGACTGTTGTGTGTGCTTATGCACCCAACAGCAGTTCAGAGTATACGGCCTTCTTGGAGACCCTGGAAAGAGTCCTGTATGGGGCTCCTGAAGGGGACTCTTTAATCTTGCTGGGAGACTTCAACGCACATGTGGGCAATGATGGAGACACTTGGAGGGGCGTGATTGGGAGGAACGGCCCCCCTGATCTGAACCGGAGTGGTGGTTTGTTACTGGACTTCTGTGCTAGTCATGGATTGGCCATAACAAACACCATGTTCGAACATAAGGATGCTCATAAGTGTACGTGGTACCAGAGCACCCTAGGCAGAAGGTCCATGATCGATTTCGTTATCGTATCATCGGACCTGAGGCCGTATGTTTTGGACACTCGGGTAAAGAGAGGGGCGGAGTTGTCAACTGATCACCATCTGGTGGTGAGTTGGGTCGAGTGGCGGGGGAAGCCTCTGGATAGACCTGGTAAGCCCAAACGTGTAGTTCGGGTGAACTGGGAACGTCTGGAGGAGGCCCAAGTTCAGGAGGCCTTCAACTCACACCTCCGGCGGAGCTTTTCGGGCATTCCTGTGGAGGTTGGGGACATTGAACAAGAGTGGTCGGTGTTCAAAGCCTCTATTGCCGAAGCCGCGGCGGGGAGCTGTGGTCTCAAGGTCCTAGGTGCCTCAAGGGGCGGTAACCCTCGAACCTCCTGGTGGACACCGGTGGTCAGGGAAGCCGTCCGACTGAAGAAGGAGGCCTTCAGGGATTTGTTATCCCGGGGGACTCCCGAGGCAGTTGCAAGGTACCGACAGGCCCGAAGGGCAGCAGCCTCATCCGTGGCCGAGGCAAAGCAGCGGGTGTGGGAGAAGTTCGGAGAAGACATGGAGAAGGACTTTCGGGCGGCACCAAAGTTGTTCTGGAAAACTGTCCGACACCTCAGGAGGGGGAAGCAGGGAACCATCCAAGCTGTGTACAGTAAGGATGGGACGTTGTTGACCTCAACTGATGGAGTGTTAGGGCGTTGGAAGGAACACTTTGAGGAACTCCTGAACCCGACAACTCCGCCCTCTATGTTAGAGGCAGAGCTGGAGTATGACGGGGGATCAACACCAATCTCCCGGGGGGAGGTCACTGAGGTCGTCAAACAACTCCACAGTGGCAAAGCCCCGGGGGTGGATGAGATCCGCCCGGAAATGCTGAAGGCTCTGGGTGTTGAGGGACTGTCATGGTTGACACGTCTCATCAACGTTGCGTGGAAGTCGGAAACAGTACCGAAGGAGTGGCAGACCGGGGTGGTGGTTCCCCTATTTAAAAAGGGGGATCAGAGGGTGTGTGCCAATTACAGAGGCATCACACTACTCAGCCTCCCCGGGAAAGTTTACTCTAAGGTACTCGAAAGGAGGGTCAGGCCGATTGTCGAACCTCAGATTGAGGAGGAACAATGCGGATTCCGTCCTGGTCGTGGAACGACGGATCAGCTTTTTACTCTTGCAAGGATCCTGGAGGGGGCCTGGGAGTACGCTTATCCGGTCTACATGTGTTTTGTAGACTTGGAGAAGGCGTATGACCGAGTTCCCAGGGAGTTACTGTGGGAGGTGCTGCGGGAGTATGGGGTGAGGGGGTCTCTACTCAGGGCAATCCAATCTCTGTACTCCCAAAGCGAGAGCTGTGTCCGGGTCCTCGGCAGTAAGTCGGACCCATTTCCGGTGAGGGTTGGCCTCCGCCAGGGCTGCGCTTTGTCACCAATCCTGTTTGTAATATACATGGATCGGATTTCGAGGCGTAGTCATGGGGGAGGGGGTCTGCAGTTCGGTGGACTAAGGATTGCACCACTGCTTTTTGCAGATGATGTGGTTCTAATGGCTTCATCGGTCTGCGACCTTCAGCACTCACTGGATCGGTTCGCAACCGAGTGTGAAGCGGCTGGGATGAGGATCAGCACCTCCAAATCTGAGGCCATGGTTCTCAGCAGGAAACCGATGGACTGTCCACTCCAGGTAGGGAATGAGTCCTTACCCCAAGTGAAGGAGTTCAAGTATCTCGGGGTCTTGTTCTCGAGTGAGGGAACAATGGAGCGTGAGATGGGCCGGAGAATCGGAGCAGCGGGAGCGGTACTGCAGTCGCTTTACCGCACCGTTGTGACGAAAAGGGAGCTGAGCCAGAAGGCAAAGCTCTCGGTCTTCCGGGCCATTTTCGTTCCTACCCTCACCTATGGTCATGAAGGATGGGTCATGACCGAAAGAACGAGATCGCGGATACAAGCGGCCGAGATGGGTTTTCTCCGCAGGGTGGCTGGTGTCTCCCTTAGGGATAAGGTGAGAAGTTCGGTCATCAGGGAGGGACTCGGAGTTGAGCCGCTCCTCCTTCGTGTCGAAAGGAGCCAGTTGAGGTGGTTCGGGCACCTAGTTAGGATGCCACCTGGGCGCCTCCCTAGGGAGGTGTTCCAGGCACGTCCAGCTGGGAAGAGACCAAGGGGTAGACCTAGGACCAGGTGGAGGGATTATATCTCTTCGCTGGCCTGGGAGCGCCTTGGTCCCAGTCAGAGCTGGTTGATGTCGCCAGGGAAAAGAAAGTTTGGGGCTCTCTGCTGGAACTGCTACCCCCGCGACCCGACCACGGATAAGCGGGAGAAGATGGATGGATGGATGGAATTACATTTTTTGGGTATCCTTTTGTTGAACTGTCTGTTTAAAATTAATCGAAGCATCAGACTAAAGAGGCTTTTGAAAATAATATTATATTTTGATTTAGGTCAAAATATAATATTTGTCAACCTGAAGAGTCAGTGCCTCACCAGCCATGAACCTCATTGCAGAAGCTTATAGACATCTAAGTTTTTTGTGCCCCACCACTTTTGTACATATAGAAACGCCACTGCACAGGTTTCATTTGGATTTCTCCGAATAATGTCCGGTAACTGTAACGTGGTTTCTATCACGCGAGCCAGACTTGTCATGTTCAGTTGCAGCAGCACATCTCTGGTGTACTGTGTCCTCTCCCGGATGACAGCCCCATTGACATCACATGCCAAACATTGAAGCAATACGATCCACAGAATCACAGAATAAAGAATGTCCATTTTGACTAGTGGCGCAGGGAACATTCAATCATACAGACGCTTTATCGAATAGGTCGGTGGCGCATTAAAAACCTTTAAAAAAACACAAAACAAACTAAACGAAGGACACCAAACTTTTCCCTGCCGGTCGCAGCGTGCGCATGCGCCCAGTGTAGATGGCCACTAACTAACAGGGTCTGTGTATCGCTCACTGATTGGACTCAGTGGAATCAAGGGGTAAGACGCAAGGAAAATACGCAAGTGAGGGACGCAAGGATTGAGGTTAAGAATAGTGAGATGCAGCCTAAAAGCCATTTGAGTTAGTTGTTGTCTGTGTTAAGCTTTTCCGTGTAACCTTCATGAAATCCTGGTTATTAGCGACTTCGATGGGCGCTAACCTGTTAACCTTTTTTTCACAAAACTGTGTCTCAGGGCTTCTTCACATTTAACAACCTATTAATGTGTCATACCCACTTAATGGGAAGAAACTCAGCCAACTGACGATACGAACCATTTTTACCGTAACAAAACACAAGTCTCACAAGAAGCGTCTAAATGAGCCCTGAGCGAAAGAATGCTAACGCACTTAGCACATAACTCATGGTAGAAAAACGTATACTTATCGGATCTGCACAAACAAGACATTAGCTAGCAAGCTTAGATTCCACAGATTCTAGGGGTATAAGTATCATCACTGAGCGATCAAAACTCGCGGTATGGGAAGCGAACCCAGACAACACACAACGTAGCTTTACGGAGCAAAATCGGGAAATATGTCTTACCTTTTGCTGTTTCTGATCAAAAGTTGTCTTCAATGGCATTAAAATGATAACAACGCTGCTGAAGGTTAATCCACAGGTTAATCCAATGTGTCTGTGTCACTTTGAAATGATTACGGATAATCCATCATCATATTTTTGTCAATAACGGAGATTTCATATTAGCTGCTACGAGTGTATGACAGCTTCCGGTTTTGCGCATTCTGGCTACGCATCACTCATTCACCAATGGGTAATGTTTAGATGGATTTTAGGAACTTCCCCTCGATTCTATTGGCTCTAACGGTTAAAAAGAGGTGTCAATCATCAAAATCGACCGAGGGGGGCCAGATATGGAAAATCCACCCAAATGACCCCAGAAGTGTTTTTTTTTCTAAATCTCTCTAAAAAAGTCAAAGGTCACTTGTTTTGCATCAATCTTGATACAGGGTACTTATTATATGTTATAGTTTGGATTCCTAAAGCTTTTAGTCTACTATACCATCATTCAAGGGTGGTTTTCACTATAAGTAATGGTTTATTTTTGGACGGACACAATAATTTACATGTTTTTACTATGTTCAATCTGAAATTACTTTAAAATAAAAACATCTATATTGATTCTGACTTTTCTACATCCAACTCACAGGTTTATCATTGCTTTGAGAAAAAAGACGATTAATTTACTCCTTTTAGAAGTGAAGTTATGGTCATTTGTTCTGGGAATGTCATTTTCGAGCCTGAGACCTGAAAAACAGGCTCAGGGCTTAACAGGTTAAGTGAACTGCAGTTAGCATCCTGGGCACGAACTCAGTGACGTTCTCTACTAAAGACAGATGTTTTTACGTTAGCTTCACACTGCTGGCTGTAGGGCAGCTGAAGAGACGCGAGGCTCTTTGTAGATTAACTTCACGTCTTTATGATTTACTCTGAACATCTTCCCGAGTCCTTCACATAGAGAGCAGTCCACCGGCTGATAGAGGACACTCAGAAATTCTGGAAGGTTCATCTGTTGGGCAACACAGAGCGATTTATACCATTACATTGGAAAGAGTGACTTTAGAGTTAACATATTTTCATCAGTTTTTCTCCAGCGGTTCAATGTATGGGCGGTGGTGGCAAAGTCCGTAGGGACTTGGCTTGGGAACCAGAGAGTCACCGGTTCAAGACCCCAGAAGACCAAGTGCTACCCAGGTGTCCCTGAGCAAGGCAGCGTTCCCTACACTGCTCCCCGGGCCCGTACATATGGCAGCCCACTGCTCCTAACACTAGGATGGATCAAATGCAGAATGTACATTTCCCCTCTGTGGGACGATGAAGAGCTCCTTCTTCTTCTCTTGATGCATCTGTTTCTGTTTCAGGGTCCAGCAGCAGAGACCAGACTCTCCCAGCTGTCTGTCCCTAAAGAGCGACCGGTCGAAGGACGACTTCATGAACTTTAAAGGACGACCTCCATCTGCTGATCAGAAGTAAGCTGTAACTCACAGTAAGAGTCCGGTTATGATAGAATAAAACCAGTTTCTATAAAGTCTTGTCCGACCCCTTCTCTTGTCCAAAGTGTTTAGTTGTGAACGTCCACACTGGGAGGTGAACCCTGACCCCTGCTATGGTGCTGGAGGTGGAGCTGGGGGGGTAATGGGGGCTGGTGTAAGAACTGTCCCTAGGTCTTTCCTTTCCCTGATGAACAGCTGTTAGCCAGCTGCAGAGTCCAGTATCTATCCACACAGCCACGTTTCAGGAAGACCAGAATGAAGGATGGACAGAATCCTCTGGTCTTCAACAGTAGCTGGAAATAAATATTCCTGTAGTGCAAAGTTCCCGCTGACGCACAGGACCACCAGCCTGTTTCCCTGTCCTCCTTTACCCTGAGTGTGTCTCTGCGTGGACAGACATAATGTGAGCTAATGCTTCATGATTCCTCCACAGAGGGGACCAGGAGAGCTCGGAGGTTCCCGGTGGTCAGTCTGCCCAGCAGCATCAGACACAGCTGGACTCCATATTTACGGTGAGTGCATGTACTAAAGATACTTGACCTCTCTTCTGTTCACAGTCATCTCCATGCTGCACTTTCAGAGAGTCAGTCTGTCCGGATCTGATGTTTGGATCCATGGTTTATAGTTTGTGTCGTTCATGTGATGTTCCAGCTGCTGGAGGACCACATCGTCACCTATGTGAAGAGCGAGCTGAAGAAGGTCCAGAAGGCTCTGAGTTCAGATTACCCAGAAGGCTTAGAGAGTCAGAGTGAAGATGAGGAGGTGTTGGATGCTGAGGATGAAGAGCAGAGGAGGAGCAGAGAGGCATTTCTGAACATCACACTGCACTTCCTGAGGAGCATGAAGCAGGAGGAGCTGGCTGACCGTCTGCAGAGCGGTAAGAGGGTTTCTATAGAGATTTAACACTCTGGATAAATGTCTCATCTGCTGATGTCTCAAGGGATCAACATATATCCATATTTCATTCAGAGAACCAGAGTTACAGTGTGACCAGATGATCTTTTGTTGTGTGTTTTTTCAGGACTAATAACTGGAGTGTGTCAGCGTAAACTTAAATCCACCCTGAAGGAGAGGTTCCAGTGTGTGTTTGAGGGCATTGCTAAAGCAGGAAACCCAACCCTTCTGAACCAGATCTACACAGAGCTCTACATCACAGAGAGGGGGTCTGCAGAGGTCAATGATGAACATGAGGTCAGACAGATTGAAACAGCATCCAGGAAACCAGACAGACCAGAAACAACCATCAGACAAGAAGACCTCTTTAAAGCCTCACCTGGAAGAGATGCACCAATCAGAGCAGTGCTGACAAAGGGAGTGGCTGGCATTGGGAAAACAGTCTTAACACAGAAGTTCACTCTGGACTGGGCTGAAGGCAAAGCCAACCAGGACATCCAGTTCATATTTCCATTCACCTTCAGAGAGCTGAATGTGGTGAGAGAGAACAAGTACAGCTTGGTGGAACTTATTCATCACTTCTTCTCTGAAACCAGAGACGCAGGAATCTGCAGGTTTAATCAGTTCTCGGTTGTGTTCATCTTTGACGGTCTGGATGAGAGTCGACTTCCTCTGGACTTCCTCAACACTGAGATCCTGACTGATGTCACAGAGTCCACCTCAGTGGATGTGCTTCTGACAAACCTCATCAGGGGGAACCTGCTTCCCTCTGCTCGCTTTTGGATAACCACACGACCTGCAGCAGCCAATCAGATCCCTCCTGAGTGTGTGGACATGGTGACAGAGGTCAGAGGGTTCACTGACCCACAGAAGGAGGAGTACTTCAGGAAGAGATTCAGAGATCAGGAGCAGGCCGACACCATCATCTCCCACATCAAGACCTCACGAAGCCTCCACATCATGTGCCACATCCCAGTCTTCTGCTGGATCTCTGCTTCAGTTCTGGAGGAGGTGTTGAAAACCAGAGAAGCAGGAGAGCTGCCCAAGACCCTGACTGAGATGTACATCCACTTCCTGGTGGTTCAGTCCAAAGTGAAGAACATCAAGTATGATGGAGGAGCTGAGACGGATCCACACTGGAGTCCAGAGAGCAGGAAGATGATGGAGTCTCTGGGGAAACTGGCTTTTGAGCAGCTGAAGAAAGGCAACCTGATCTTCTATGAGTCCGACCTGACAGAGTGTGGCATCGATATCAGAGCAGCCTCAGTGTACTCAGGAGTGTTCACACAGGTCTTCAGAAAGGAGAGAGGACTGTACCAGGACAAGGTGTTCTGCTTCGTCCATCTGAGCGTTCAAGAGTTTCTGGCTGCTCTTCATGTCCATCTGACCTTCATCACCTCTGGAGTCAACCTGCTGGCAGAAGAACCAACAACCTCCTGGCTGCTTAAAGTCTTCAGACCCAAACCTGAACTAACACATCTCTACCAAAGTGCTGTGGACCAGGCCTTACAGAGTCCAAACGGACACCTGGACTTGTTCCTCCGCTTCCTCGTGGGTCTTTCACTGCAGACCAATCAGAAACTCCTACGAGGCCTGCTGACACAGACAGGAAGGGGCTCAGAGATCAACCAGGAAACAGTCCGGTACATCAAGAAGAAGATAGATGAGGATCTGTCTGCAGGGAGAAGCATCAACCTGTTCCACTGTCTGAATGAACTGAATGATCGTTCTCTAGAGAAGCAGATCCAACAGTCCCTGAGTTCAGGAAGTCTCTCCACAGAGAATCTGTCTCCTGCTCAGTGGTCAGCTCTGGTCTTCATCTTACTGTCATCAGGAGAAGATCTGGACGTGTTTGATCTGAAGAAATACTCTGCTTCAGAGGAGGCTCTTCTGAGGCTGCTGCCAGTGGTCAAAGCCTCCAACAAAGCTCTGTAAGTTCAGAGATCATTTGATTTAGTGAATCAGTTATTAATACACTGCTGTCCTCTGAATAACTGTTGTCCTCATCGTCTCCTCAGGCTGAGTGGCTGTAACCTGTCAGAGAGAAGCTGTGAAGCTCTGTCCTCAGTCCTCAGCTCCCAGTCCTCTAGTCTGAGAGATCTGGACCTGAGTAACAACGACCTGCAGGATTCAGGAGTGAAGAAGCTTTCTGCTGGACTGAAGAGTCCACACTGTGAACTGAAGACTCTCAGGTCAGAGACCAGTACAGTTTGACTTAGTCAACAATCAGCCATGCTGTTGTGGTGTGGGAATACCATCCTCAATAACATCATTCAAGAGAAACGCGACACAATATATCTGTCACAATTCACAAAATGGTTATTGGCACAAACTTCTTTAAAGTTAAAAAACATCCCCCCTTGTGACACACAGAAACAAAACAAAGGGCTGGGCCCCTCACTAGAGGTGAGGTATATTGCCTCATAGCTCAATCAAATGTAGGTAAATTATTCTTGATACTTGAATATGCTTTATGAAAAACACAGCCTGCATCTCAGCTCTCCAGAGGGTTTACTTTACTTTGTTGGCGGCTCATCCGTTAACACAGAACTCTCAGATTGATTATAATAAGGAGAAATAGGAAGGGTTTGTAAAGCAAATAAGTTATTGGGCTGGGCTTTTTCTTTTTACCAACTAACTAAATGTTTTCAACTTTAATTGACTGAATTTATTTGTAAATTGGACTTATGAACACGTGAATACTTCTGTTTGATATATATATATATATATACATTTAAGAAGTACAATATAAGAAAAGCACACGTTTCTCTCTAGTCTTTGTTCACATTATTCTCTATTCCTTTGTTGTATAATCTGTTCATATCAATAAGACCCTTACCATGGCTGTCCAGTTGAACTGTGAAGCAGTGACTGGAGTTTTAGGTGTAGAGATGACCCAGAGGTGATGCAGTAATAAGCCCCCCCCCCCCCTTCCAGTCCTGGACCCTCAGATGATCTGACGGCTTGTTTGTGTGTCTGCAGGCTGTCAGGCTGTCTGATCACAGAGGAAGGCTGTGATGCTCTGGCCTCAGTTTTAAACCCCTCCCATCTGAGAGAGCTGGACCTGAGCTACAATCATCCAGGAGCCTCAGGGGGGAGGCTGCTGTCTGCTGGACTGGACACGCTCAGGTATGGAGAGGCACTCAGTCTGATAGAGGAGGTAGAAACTGGCTCCTATGACCTGAAACACCCAGAGCTGATAGACCCTGACTCTTCACACTGTCTGCCGTCAGCTGTAAGCATCAAACACAAATGTTCCACAACTGAGAGGAGACCCCCCCTCAGTGGGTCAATGTTCATCGTGGAACCACCAACAGAAACAGAGTGGGGGGGTTTCAATGTTCACACAGATTTAGCACAGGAAGTGACATCATGAATAAATAAACTGATTCATTTCCAGATGTTTTATTCTGAGTCCTAGCAAACGGCCAATCAGAAGAACCTCGTCTGCAATGAAAATAATGATTTATTAGTTTCAGTGTTGGGAGTAACGTGTTACAGTAATCAGATTACATTTGTCTGTAACGCGTTACTGTTGGTTCAGCAGTAATTACATTAGATAAGAGAAGATAGTACTTTATTGATACTAAGCACAAAATGATCTCGTGACCTGCGTTACGTTAAGGTCTTTAACTTTCTGCATAACGGGAGGACAGAAAAATAAATCAAACGCCCTTTTTCTCTCGCGCTACACTCGCGAGATGGCAGAGTTTCATAGCAGAGATAAACAGGCGCAGCAAACATCGTGGAGGACGTGTTGCCCGTTTCATTACATCCATGGTTTCCACGGTGGAATCACCATCTTTCTGAAAACATATTGAGCCAGAAATACGAAACAGGCGGGCTCCACCTATCGGGTCAGATCAGTCTCACAAATAAATAAATGCACACAGAAGGAAACACAAATGTAATTCCTGATTTATATATAAATGTCTCCACATTAATGCACGCACAAAAACTTATCATTTTATAAATGTAAAAAAGTTTCACAAATATATTTCTGATCCACAAACAAATAGTTACATCACAAACATATTTGAGTGTTGTTACATTTATATAAAAAACGCTTTCTGTGTGAATCTCTGGATTTTTGAGACTCCTCCTCGCCGCTAGATTCACTCATACATTTTTTAAGAGGCGAGTGTCTTCGGCCAATCAGATGTCTGCTTCATTTTAAGCCAATCACATGCGTGTGTCCCCTCGAGGGTGTGTTTAATGCGTTTGCAACGTAGCGTAACATCAGAGTCTGGGGCCTCAAATCCAGAGAGATTCACACAGAAAGCGTTTTTTATATAAATGTAACAACACTCAAATATGTTTTTGATGTAACTATTTGTTTGTGGATCAGAAATATATTTGTGAAACTTTTTTACATTTATAAAATGATATGTTTTTGTGCTTGCATTGAAATATGTGTGTGGAGACATTTATATATAAATCCAGAATTACATCTGTGTTTCCTTCTGTGTGCATTTATTTATTGTGAGACTGATCTGACCCCATAGCCATCAGACAGGAACACTTTAGCAAACTACCTGGAGCAGAGTTATGATGGAACCTGAGCTAAAGAAAACATGATGTTCAAACAAAGAGACAGAAAAACTACAAAACAAACTGAAAAGTATAAAACAGATTCAGGAATCAGAAATGAAGACAAAAGATAAATTTGAAGCGCACAGTGAACCAAAGAGAAACCCATATTTCCTGATGCACACAAACGCTGCACACAGGAAGCATGCCCCCACCTGATCAACACCTGGAGAGGAGATCATAGACATCATGAAAGAGATGTTTCTGGAGGCAGACTGAGGTGGACATATCAGATCCTTTAAAGACTAACTGACCCCCCCTCTGCTTTCAGCCTGGAGCCTGCTGCAGTCCGGTTCTTGAGGCCAGGAGGTCTCAGGAAGTGTAAGTGTGTTTTTAATCATGATCTTCACACTGGGACATCACAGGTACTTTAATAATCTTTAATACCGGCTGTGTCTCTCATCAGATTCCTGTGGACTCACACCGGACTCAAACACAGTGAACAGAAACCTCAGACTGTCTGACAACAACAGGAAGGTGACACGTGTGAGAGAGGAGCAGAAATATCCTGATCATCCAGAGAGGTTTGACTCCTGGTTTCAGCTGATGTGCAGAGAAGCTCTGATTGGTCGCTGTTACTGGGAGGTCGAGTGGAGCGGAGGGGTTTCTATATCAGTGACTTACAGAGGAATCAGGAGGAGAGGAGACAGTGAGGACTGTGGATTTGGAGGGAATGATCAGTCCTGGAGTCTGGAGTGCTCTGGTGGTGGTTACTCTGTCAGGCACAATAAGAGAGAAACACTCATCTCCTCCTCTTCCTCTCGTAGAGTAGCAGTGTATCTGGATCATCCTGCTGGCTCTCTCTCCTTCTACAGAGTCTCCTCAGACACACTGACCCACCTCCACACCCTCAGAACCACATTCACTGAACCTCTCTATGCTGGGGTTGGGCTCTATTTCTGGCCACCTGGTTCCTCAGTGTCTCTTTGCTCTCTGCAGGAATGACGCCCCCCCCCCCCAGCGTTTGTGTTCTTTTTAAATAAATCTAAATGTTGAGATTTCAGAAAATAAAAGTTTCTCAAAAAGAAGTCAGAAATGTAAGATTTTAAGAAAACTCTCAAAACAAAAGTCAGTATTTGCTAAGATGAAACTCAGAAAGAGGTTGAAGAACAACAGGAAGTCCATTCTGATTTATTTCCACACGGAGGCTTTTATTCTGAAACTGCAGGAAAACCTACATTTATCCCAAAGTCTTCCCACCACCTGTAGTTTGTGAACACGTGACATCACTTCAGTTTGAATGGCAGCAGCAAAGGGTTACTGAGGCTCGTTGAGAACAGGTCATAGTGACGAGTTCAACCACTTCTGCAGAATGTAATATATGATGGAAATAAACTAACATATAATAACGTCTAAAGTGCAAACGTGAACATAAAGTGCAAACCACAGCGTGCATGCATTTGTGCTCAATGACCGGCTTCCCTGTGAATATTTTAAATATAACGTGGCCCTACCCAGCAGTCTGGGCGGCTCAGAGTGCAGCTTTTATTTCAATGCTCGCTTTTTACTCTCATGCAAACATGGTCATTACTTTTTAAGAAGTGTCAGATTCGCCTTATTTGCATTTAGAAACTAATATTCCCTAAAGAACACGATGATGTTTGAATGAACACGGCTGCTTCTGGGGTGAATGTAAACCTCTGATCTGGGTTAGATGGGTTTACTAACAGACCAATAGCATGATGATTGTCTCTTCATTAACACTCATGTGCTTTCAATGTAAGCAGCTGATCTAATTAATAAAGTCTGTGTGTTGAGTCGGACTCGTGGCCTGTCTTTGTCTCAGTTTGATGACTTCTTCCATTCTAGAGAGGATCAGAAATACATGGAGACACAATTTGGAGATTTTTAGAAATAATTCAGAATTATGAGAGAAAAGTCCAAATTTTGAAATTTTGAGAAAAAAAGTCAGAATTTCGACATTTTGATTTTTCACAGGGCGATCAAAGTCAATATTGAGATTTTGAGAACATTTTAGAATTTTTAGACAAAATTCAGGATTTTTAGATTTTTAGAAAAAAGTCAGCATTTTGAGAAAAAAGTCAGAATTTGGAGAGAAAGTCTGTGTTTTGAGTCGGACTCGTGGCCTGTCTTTGTCTCAGTTTGCTGGTTTATTTATAAATACTTTTATTTTCTCTAATGTGCAATGCCTTGTCTTTTTATGCCGCTGCAACGCAAACATTTCCCAAATTGGGATCAATAAAGTACTTCTTATCTTATCGTATCCAACTAATGTTAATGCAAGGTGAGGATCCTCTTGTTTGGTGTTGTTTAGAGTCGGAGAGGTCCTGATAATTTATTCCGGTAAATTACTCTGACCTCCTAATTGACCTGACCGAAGTTATTGAGTCTATGTAAGGTTGCTGCTTGGCTCAGATCCACCAACGTCAGCAAGATCTCACCTCTATTAACTCCCCGAAGAACCAGGTTCAATGAACTGCTGTTTCAATTCAGACAACTCTTTTTTAATCTGTTTAAGGGATCCCGAAGGATTTTGATATCAGTAAATGGAGTGTGCTCCTACCTAAGTGTGTGTGGCAGGGTGCAATCTTACCTTTGAAGCAGGAGAGGAGGGCACAGGTGTCTTTTAAGTTATCCCAGTCCAAAAGGTGGGATCAGTTTATTTGAAGAAAAATAGGTCCAAACTAATACAGGGTTTTTACCTTCTCTCTTTACAACATTATAATCATACTAAAAAAATGGTGCTGTGATCATGTTCAAATATGAAACTTTAATTCACAGTCTTACATTTATTACCAAAATGTTTTAATTTCAACTGCCCAATTCAGTTGTGACATTTTAAAATCTCCCGATAGAATTTAGAGGTATTTCCTCATAAAAAGACCGGTGACAATAAAAAGCGCATTCAACTTTTCATTCACCAAATCAATTCACATCAGTTTCATACCTTTTTTTCCGACACAGACGGCGGGTATAACATTCAAAAACCCATTCCTATCCGCATTAATTCGGAGGAAGATTCCTCACAGGTGGCGGTTCTAATATTCATACACTTTTTCCGACACAGACGGCGGATTAACATTCAAAAACCCATACCTGTCCGCAATAATTCGGAGGAAGATTTCCTCACAGGTGGCGGGTTATAATATTCACAAACACATCTCTCATCAAATCATTCCACTCAGCCAACAACCAAGAAATTCGAGAGATATTTACCAAGTGTGAGAGAACCTTTACCGAGAGCTATTAACCCAGCTCTGAAGGACAAAGCCTACCGGGAGAGAGTCTACCAGGGGAAACCCCCCTCTCTCTCGCGCTCTCTCAAAAAACCAGTCTCTTTATGCTCAAAAAACTGGATCGAAACCCCAAAAAAACAAACTCCTCCTCTACACCCAATTTGTGGAAAACTGGGCATGGCCTCTAATGTACAAGGCTGGACATGACCCGACATGTTCTATGGCTATCATAACCAACTTTTTGACGCCTCAATGTTTTTCTCCTTCAGTCAGGAGCCCCCCTCCCTGTGAACTGCTGTCACAGGAGAGGGAAAAAACGGCCTACTCTCTTATCAGAGACACCCATAAATCATAGACCTTACACACTCAACCTAAACAAACCACTTTGTTTTGCTTATGCTGTAAATATAGAAAAACCTAAAATATGAAGCATTCTCATTATGGGTTCATACAAGAATATAATTGATCATATATGATTTATAATAAACTTTTGTTTTAAGTATTCACTTCATATATGATTTATAATTAACTTTCGTTTTAAGTATTCACTTCATATTGAGATCTCAACAGTGTGAAGGTGAGTCTAATCAGACGCCGCTGCCCCCCCCCCCCCGGCCGTACAGCAGGAACCCCCCCGCGGTGCGAAGCTCCTCCAGATCCAGGTTGGACAGGAAGCTCCTCTGAAGCTCCGCCTCCACCGTGCACCCTCCCGGTCCGCTGCACCCCCCCAGCAGCACCACGGCCGACTGACACAGCAGCCAATCAGAGAGCTTCCTCAGGTCGGATAGAGCCCGCCCCCCACCCCACAGGCTCAGGTGAAGCATGTTAGCGGCGACACGAGCGCTGGGCCGCTGCAGAAGAGAGTAAAAAACAGGTGGTTAATGCACAGCCTGTTATAATATCTGTTGGGAACATCCTGAATGCACTCTTCCAATATGAGAGTAACATGATGACAAAGGTATCCCAACTGTAGCTGTGAACATGACAGGATGTGTGATTACCTAGAAGAGCATCAGGACTGTTTGAGGCATATGATAGCTATGTGATTAACATGATGATTCAGCCTCTATGGAGAGAGACATCAAGCATGCTCATTTCTGACGTGGAGCTAACCTGAAGTAAACATTGAATACTGCTTTCTATTCCTCCATCTTGTGACTGTGTAACTCCCTCTCTTGGATATCAGCATGTGAAGGACACTGTTCAGGAACTAGCTGATGCTCTGTATGTGATGACTCCTTCCTTTCTGGAGAGGATCACAAACACATGGATCCTGAGGTTGAAGCTCAAGCCGGGCACCAGTGAGAGTTTTAGAATTCTCCTGATGAGATCTAATCTCTTTTTTTGTATTATTATTTTTTTAAAGCTAGACCCAGAATCATCTCTTTAGTAACAGCTGAAAGAGAGGGAGATGAGGCTAGAATGATCTGTTTGGTAATTTGAGCAAAACACTTCATAGACATGTTTTTTATATATTTTTATATATCTGAGACCTATAATATATGCCTAAAAGTAGTATGATAGGAGACCTTTAATATATATCTGTATATATCACCTTGCTGGGGCTCCTCCTGAGCAGCAGCTGAATCACCAGCTGCACGTCAGCAGGTGCAGCTGGGGGGGGAGGTGGCAGCTGCGTCTCCTCGTAGCTCCGGCTCTGCAGCCCCCCCGCTCCGTAGAAAGGGTTTTTCTCCCCAAAGATCTCGTAGGCGACGGCGCCGACCGCCCAGCCGTCCGCCTTCCTGTAGTCGATCACCGAGGTCCGGCCTGGGGAGGCACTGGACACCTGGGGGGGCGG